GAAGAGGAGGAAGAGCGTTGGAGGGAGGGGAGGGAAAGGAGGAGGAAGGGAGACTGGAGGAGGAAGGACAGAGGGAGAGAGGGGAGGCAAGAGTAGAGGAACAGAGCGGAGGAGGGAAAAGAGGGAAGACTGGGAGAGAGGAGGAGGAAGGGGGAGGAGAGAAAGGAGGAGGAAGGGGAGGAAGAGAAGAGGAGGAGTGGAGGGAAAAAGGAAAGCGTTGGAGGGAGGGGAGGGAAAGGAGGAGGAAGGGAGACTGGAGGAGGAAGGACAGAGGGAGAGAGGGGAGGCAAGAGTAGAGGAACAGAGCGGAGGAGGGAAAAGAGGGAAGACTGGGAGAGAGGAGGAGGAAGGGGGAGGAGAGAAAGGAGGAGGAAGGGGAGGAAGAGAAGAGGAGGAGTGGAGGGAAAAAGGAAAGAAGGGAGGAGACAGCTAGGAGAAGGAAGGAGGAGGAGGGGGATGAGGGAGGAGAGGGATAACAGGAAGAAAGAGGAGGAAGGAGGAGGGAGGGGGACAGATGAAGAGAGAGTGGGGGAGGAGGGAGAGAGGTGGGGGAAAAGGAGGGAGATGGGGAGAAGAGAGGAAGAGAGGAGGGAGAAGATGAAGGGGGAGAGGAAAGGATGGAGTGAAGGAAAGGGGAGGGAGGGAAAGGGGGGATGTAGGACAGAGGGACAGAGAGTAGGGAGGAAGAAGGAGGGAAAAAGAAGAGGGGAGGGGGGAGAGGGATAAGGGATGAGGGAGTGGGAGAAGGAAGAAGGGGAGATGTGAGGAGGGAAGGAGAGAAGGGAGTAGGGGGAGGGAGTGAAGGGAGGAGGGAGGAAGAGAGATGAGGGGGAGGGGAAGAAAAGAGGAGGGAGGTAAAAGAGGAGGGAGAGAAGGGAGAAGGGAAGGAGAGATGTGGGAGGGAGAGAGGGAGGGAGAGAGGGGGAGGAGGAATAGAGGGGGATGTAGGAATTTAGAAAATATGTTTTTGTGTAAGCAAGTGTTGCTAGATAGGCTTATAGGCTCCAGTAGCTGAACTTAGACCTAGGAAGTTCTTGGGACATAAACTTGACATGACAAAATGCATGAACTTCTGTGGGTGGTCTGGGGGGTGCAGATAGGGAAGGAAGAGCTAAATGTGATTAGGATGTATTGTATAAAATCATTAAAAAATCAATAAAATATGCACTAAGAATTGGAATATGGGGAGAGACTAGCTATTTCAAAGTTGATAAAGAATATCTATTTCTTCATCCTGTATTGGAAACAAGGCTTTATACCTGCCCTAGAAGGAAAACATTTCTGTTTTTAATTGCCAGTTCTTATGAGGTATTGTGTGTATACAATAATGGTTGCTACCAGTTATAAGAATTCTAGTTCCATGCACCACGTCCTCATGATCTTTAAGTTGTCTTAAAACCAAGTCTAAGAGGTGGACTTGAGAGATGACTCAGTAGTTAAGAGCATTGGCTGCTCTTGCAGAGGACCCAGATTCTAATCCCAGCACCTGCATGGTGGCTGACAACCATCTGTAACCCTAGTTCCAGAGGATCTTTTCTGGCCTCCGTGGTCAATGTATGACATGGGTGCACTTACATACATGCAGGTGTAACACTCATACACATAAAATAAATAAGCAAAAAATTAAAACCCTTGGAGAACAATATTTTTAACTCTCCATTGAATCATAAAATGCCTGACTCCTTGAGGAATTATTAATAGGGGAATTAGTGGAAAGTTTTTTTGTACTATTTCAAACATTTGTGGATTTTCTACTGTGTAACAGACATAGCTGGCTGGCATAGGACTTAGAAATCAAAGGGCAGATGTTAGTGCCGTCTAATCATCATTCCTCATAAATATGTGCAATTATTTTTTATAAATTAAAATTTCTTAGTTGTCTGTTTAGCTTGTTGGTGTAGTTTTAGGAAAGAATAAAACCTATACTTTGATAGCATTACACACCCCCTAACTGAAAATAATCACATTGTCCTAGTTTGTTCTTCATTGCTGTGAAAAAATACTTTGACCACTACCAACTTGGGGAGGAAAGGGTTTATTCAGTTTACATCTCCCAGGTCACTGTTCATCAGGGAGCCCAAGGTAGGAACTCATGGCAGGAACCTGGAAGCAGGAGCTGGAGCACAGGCCATGGAGGAATGCTGCTTACTGACTTGCTCCCCTGGCCCCTGCTAGGCCTGCTTTCTTATGCTGCATAGGCCCACCTGCCCAGGAGTGGCACCACCCACAGTTAGCTGGGCCCTCCCACATCACTCATCAAGAAGATGCCCCTCAGACGTGGCCACAGGCCAGTCCAATAGAGGATATTCCCCAATTGAGGCTCCCTCAACCCAGGTGTGTCAAGTTGACACTAAAGCTATCCAACACACACATTCTTTTCCATAAGGAACTAATACTGGTGATTTGATCTTTTTTTCCTATGAAGTTCAAGCTGTTGTTGAGCAGTCTGGATAACGAACTTGCTTCTGGCCTTCAGATGACAGTGATGGTGGAATATCATCCTGATAGAAATGAAGACATGTTTGATCTCATACTTATTTCAGTAGGAAATAAAGTACTAGAAATTCCTCTAGTTGGGTATGTAATTCTCATTTGTCCCTGTCTTTTGAGAATTTTGTTATTGCTAATCTGGATAATATACTTGAGTAATTTGTAAAGTATAGCTTACAATACAGATACGAAATGAAGATATTATGAAATTTGTATATGTGTGACAATGAACTTTTATTTATTTTTAAATATTTTATTTATTACTTTTATCTTTACCTGTATAAGTGTATTGCCTGCATGTATGTAAGTGCACCCAAGTTGTGCAATGGCCTCGGAGATCAGAAGAAGACATTGGATCCCATGGTACTGGAGCTATGGTGAGTTGTTAGTTGCTATGTGGGTGCTGGGAATTGAATCCAGGTTCTCTGCAAGAGCAACCAATGTTCTTAACTGCTGTGCCATATACACCTATATGAAAAAGTCTTATATCTTACTTAAAAATATGATGCACTGTATTGCTTATATACCTTATTTCATAACTCCTTTGATAATGTCATCAGTAGGCTTTTGAGTAAACTGAAATGTCTTTTAAGGAATTAAAAGTGTTTAAACATAATACCTTATGGATTTAACTAAGAAGATGTTATCACTGTTAAACTTTATGTGTGCCCTTTCTCCTCCCTTAGGTTGATTCCAACCTGTCAACTGGAAATTGTGCCAGTAGTTGATTTTGGAACATTAGTTGCGAATAGTAAAGTATACTGTAAAGAGATTAGTATTATTAACCATGGCAAAGCACCAGGTAAATATTTTGTGTCACATAAAGCCACTTACACATTTAGAAAGTTGCTATTATTTTAAATGTATCTATTGTGTAATATGTTCTGTGATTCATCGAGAAAAGATATCTACTATTTGAAATAGCTGATGCAACCATGGATGCAACCAATCAGGAAAAATCAACCTGCTTTCGTGAGGTCCTTTATTATCGCAGACTGTCAGATGACTGGTAATTTTCATGAGGACAGGATAGAAGTGACATTGTCCTCAGGCCCAGAGACAGATCTAGGGTACAAAGTCTTGCTAGCTGTGTGATCTGGGGAAGAACTAGGGTACAATGGCTTGCTAGCTGTGTGATCTGGGGCGTATTCCTTATGTATAGAGAGAACAATATGTTTATAATGGTTAGTAAGTTATATGCACCCAAAATTTTGGTGTGATGCCTGACTCATTAAGAACACTACATATTTATACTCTTTGTCATACTCAACTTTGAATTCACATCATCGTCCCTAGAAGATTTTTACCATTATTTTTTAACGAAAGAACAGAAAAAAAGCTCTCCAATCTGGATTGGTTATTTTTAGAAGTTTTGTTGTGGACTAGAAGTTTCCATAAAAATGTGTATTACTGCTGTGACACTTTTGATAGAGGCCATACAGTAGGCATAATTTCTCAAGTTAAGTTTCAACATCGCCATTTTTCCCAATGTAATATGAGGACTAAATCTAGATTGGTGGGTATTTCTCTGAGACTGCACATTGAATAAGTAATCAGCTCTTTTCCAATCCTGTTTACCACTCAAATATTCTCTTTCACTGCTTGCATGCCCATAGGGAATTATTAAGATAAAAACATTCTATCCTATTTATCTTGTTACTCATTTCTTCGTAAGATATAGAAGAATAAAACCATAGCTCTTTATCATTGAATTCTGCACATTGAGCAGAATGGTTTGCTTTTAAAATGAGTAAATATTCACTGCTTCCGAGTTTATAGAATTTTAGTTTCTCTTTTAATCTGACTTCAGTGTGAAACATAGAGTTGTATGACAAGAGATTATGGGTAATTTGGTTCCAAAGATTGTAGTTATATTTCAGAATAGTGATATATATTAGAGATTTTAATTTTTATTGTTTTTTTCATAATCTCTTATTTTAACTTTTACAAAAACTTTATTGAGACTTTCATACATGCATATAAATTGTTTTGATCAAATCCATGCCCACTCCCTCCCCTCCAACACCTCCCATATATCCCCATCACTTTTTCTTTTATCTTTTTCTTCTTTCATTTATTTATTTTTATGGGGCTTTTGGGTACTCTAACATTCCTCCCTCTGAAGAGATAACCCTAAAATCTTTTAAGGATTAGATACAAGCTCCCAAATACTTTTGACATTTTTGGCTTTGGAACAGAGTATGTTGCTAACAATCCCAAGGACATTTTGACTTTTAGCCAAGAAACTGACTACTTTTCTTTGGGGTCCTTTTACCCCAACTGCCTAGCCAATTCCTATCTCCTATTCTCATCACGCCATCCTCTGAAGAGGTTACCCAAATTGCCAATAGGGAATAGGGACACAGATTGCTCTGGCTTCTTCCATGCTGAACAGGGACACAGGGTAAGGGAACTGGAGTACCCCTTCAGTGTGTCTATCTAAAAGACTCCCAAATTGCATAACTCCTATCTCTAAGGGGAAAAAAGTCCTTGAATCCTGAATAGGAGATGAGAAGGAGAATTAAAGTCAAGAATAATTAGCATTACAAGTTGTAGACAGGGAACTAGAAAAAAGTCAGAACAGGGCAATTTTCAAGTGTTTATTTTCAAGAGTCCATTGGAATTTCTTGACAAGGACTTCCAAAAGCATCCCTCTATTGGGTTCTTCCTTATTTTTCTTTTGTCTTCCAAGGCTGGACTCTAGAGTGATGGATTCAGAATTTGCGTTCAGGTATTTTGATAGCTGTTGGAGTAGTTAGAATCAGTGTCAGTTCCCTTTCAAAGGCTTCTAAATAGAGTGAGAAAACAATCTCTTAAGGATGTAATCAAAATAACATCAATTTTATTTGAAAATCTCCCCAAGTAGTAGTCTATGTGAAAATTTAGATTTAATTTTAGTGATCTATTTAGTGTAATTTTTTCAATGAAATCCATGTAAAATTAAACTTCAGACCTGAGTCTATATTTTTTTTTAGAAAAATAAGGACCAAAGCACAAAGAACAGGAACAGATTTTTTGGGTATGAGGTTGAACTTGGTACATACTTAACTGCTTTATTTACTGATTGGAAGAACCTGGGCAAATAACTTACTTTAAGACATTTACTGACTTAATTTTAGAAGTTAAGACAACTTATCTGTATCTATTTATAAAACAGGGATAAATTGTTGAGCTTATAGTCTTGTAACAAGGAGGGAAATGTGTAACATATATAAAGTTTTTAGCATAAGTTTTCACAAAAGGAAAAAGCTATTGATAAGAGTCAAATCCTAAAACTGGTTTCACATGTGTTGGATAACTCCACTGTCTGGAATAACAATAAAGGCTATTATTTTTATCCATCAATGGATCATCTTTGAAATGTATGTCTCTTACAAGTCTTAGATACAAACTATGTCTCTTATTTTCCTTAGGTATGTTTAAAACAGAATACCAGGGTCAGTTACCTATTGTCATTTCTCCGCACAGTGGTACTGTGAAGGCTAAGTCATCAATGATTATCAAAGTGGATTTCTATGCAGACCAACCCCAAACTGTAGATGAAGTGGCAAGGTAAATATATGCTTTTTCTTCTAATTCCAGTGTGGAACTCATTATTTTACAGTTTTTATCTTTTAGATGTGTGCTTGATTGTTTGCTAGTTCATTTTCTTTCATTTGGCACTCATTTCATTTATTCCTGTATACCAAGAAATATGAGTATACATTGCTCTCAGCAGTGGGACATACTAGAGAATAGTATGAAAGTGCACATAGCAGGAGCTCCTGGTCTTGACTTTGTAGATCTGAGGGAATGGGCTAAGGATTCCAATAACAAACTGGTAGTTGAATCAAACACCCATCAATGAGGAGGATCTAGGGAGCAAGCCAGTAGGCTGATAGATGCGTTTGTGTGTGTATGTGTGTTGAGAAGGGAACTGTGGATGATAAAGTGGATTACATGAGTTTTTTCAGGCATTTTCTAGAAACCCTAGAGATAATAGTATTATATATTGAAGGAACAGAGGCAATATAGAGTCAGAGACGCAGAGGTATGGAGAGAAAAAGATAAGACCAGAAACAAATGACACAGGTTACAGTAAAGGAATATATAGGCCAGAAGTTTTTGGAGCTATGTCCCAGTTCATTCATGGGAAGTGTAATTAATATAGTGACTCACCACTTATATTTAAAACAGTGAAATAGAAAATATCAGGCCACTTTGCATAATGGAGATACTGTTTTGTAAAACTTCTGTCTTTTATATGTATTTATGTATATCCGTGTGCTACTACACTGCAGTGTAACATGTATTTCTTACTGAAGTTCACAATCATGTGTGAGAAATAATTGTGAGCCTGATTAGAGGTTAGGTTCTGTTCTGAAGGCTCCAAAATCTCAGAATTAGTTTTCATTTTAGAAATCTCATGGTAAAAAGTGCATAAAACAGATCAGGCAGTACAGTGTGGAGTGAATAATCTGACTAGGAATTACAAAGTAAAGCAAAGTGGCACAGATCTTTAATCCCAGCACCTGGGAGGGAGAAGCAGGGGAGATCTGTGAGATCGAGGCCACCATGGACTACATAGTGAGTTCCAGGCCAGTTGGAGCTACAGGGAGACCCTGCCTCAGAAACAAACAAACCAACAAACAAACAAGCAAGCAAGCAAACAAACAAAGTAAAGCAAAAAGGAAATAGGAAAGGGCTGAGCTCAGGTCTATCTAAAATGAGAGAATCAAGAGAAGTGTGCAGATTGAACTATTGAACTATATTTAATTATTTACTGTAGAAAGAAAAGATTAGAGGAAGAAAAGACCTACGGTATATCTTAAGTTTGGATTTGACACCATGGAATGCAGCTTTGTCTAGATGTATTGGTAGAGGGTAGTTGGGATATATGTGGTAGATAAAACATGGGGGTATTTAAAATTACACAGAAAAGAAGGGAAACATTTGAAACAATACGAGAGAAATACGACTAAAAGTTTACAAAGGAACCAACTCTTAGACTGAAAAGTTAGCACATGAGTGAGTTAGAATAAAAACCAGGAAAGTGGGATGTGAAGGAAGTTAAGGAATGACAGACATTTAAATAGATGGCATGAACAGTGACAGATGTTATAGGAAAATGTAAAATAAGGGCTTTGATGAAAGTTCAGGAGGTGCCAGTTATTTGTGGTATCTGGTGGGCTTGGTTGAAGAGACATTTATGTCAGAAAGGAATAGATATGTGACAGGAACTCTAAATAAGAATAGAAATTAGTTTGAGAGGCCAAATTTTATTGGAAATGTTCTTTTCAGCAAATAAGTGTTTTTTGCTGGTGAAGTTTTTATTTAGGGAACAGAGGCATTCAGATATAATAAGATTGAAAGTTGGGCCTAGGGTGGAATGACTTAGAGAAAATAATCTCAGAATTTCAGAGCTAATCATGTAAATTATGTAACTCCAGTATTTATAAAATAACTGGGAATATGGATATGCTGTTGTCTTTTTTTCTGGGGTTAAGTCATAGTCTGTTTTTAACTTTATTGTTTCTAAAACAGAATAAGTTAGGTTACACATATAATATTTCAGTGTACAGATGCAGCCATACCAGAAGACTGGATACTGACTGGTGTTTCTATGAAAAGAACTATTCAAATAATTAGCGAAAAATAAAGTGTGTAAAATACTAATTAAAATACTTACACCTATGCATATTTGATTATCTTGTAGAGTGAGTTTGCAAGGTCGTCCAGATATGTTTTTGAACATCAAGGTCCACGTGGTTGAGCAGATAATTGAATTATTTAACATGAGTAACGACAGAAAGTTGGAATGCATACGGTTTGGTTCTGTTTTCTTTGGGACATCAAAAATTGAACATGCACTTCTGTTTAACAATAGCCCAGAAACTATAAACTGGGTGGCAATACTGCAAAGTGATTGTGTTGGAGAAGAATTGGTAAGGAAATTGTGCAATAGTGATATATCAGGCATTAGATCTGAAAAGTATTTTTTAATTTGCTCATAACCATCAAGTTGTATGCTTGTTCAAAATGCTTTACCATGAGTAGACACTTTTGATTTTACATATATACAATGACGACCTCAGAAATTTCAGAAAGAAGACCCAACCTCAGCCAAGGGACTATGGGCAGCTGATCACTGCTGGATGAGGGAGAGTTGATGTTCTTTAAGGAAGGTATGCTAGATAGGCTGGCTGATCAGGCTCTAGTGGCTGAGCTCATATCAAGGAACATCTGGGGACACAAACTTGACTCTATAACTCAATAAACTTTAACATATATTACAGAATGCATTAAATTCAGCAGGATGGCTATGGGGGTGGTGCATGTAGGGTTGGGGTCTAAATATGATTTAGATGTATTATATGAAATGCCCAAAATTCAATGAAATTGTATTGAAAAGAATTTCAGTAAACAAAGCGAACATTTATAGTAAGATATGTATATATATGAATTCAACCAGTTGAATGTTTCTTAGAAATCAGTGACTAACTGTGAATATTTCTGTTCTCATCAAGTCTTTAACAGTCCTTTAAATTATCATGTGTCTTAGTCAAATTTAGGTATGTGTTAGTTTAAAAACAAACATTTTGCATTTTGTAGATGCTGACATTTCAATAATTTTAACTTCCTTTAAAAATCTTTTGTTTATTTTTTGCCTTAAAGTGCTTTTATTTCCTGTTTTATCTTACAGGGTGCAAATATTCACCAAAGGGCAGATATTGCTTTGAATAATCTCTATTACTTAAACAAAATAAAGAAAATAGATATGACCGATTTTATCACCTGTGTTCCTAATGAGGGGACTTTACTGCCTTATCAAAAGATTGTAATTGCATTTTGTTTCAGCCCAAAGTAAGCAGAGATTAATTTCATTACAATGTTAATTATTAATGGAATGAATAGTAACCACACACTAACCAGATTGATTTCGTATCATGGTAAACGCTTTAGAAGGGAAAGATCTGATTTTTTCTTACTGTGATTCTAAATGTTTCTAGCATGGCAAATATTTCCATGATTCATAAGTATACTATTAAATATTATGTTAAATTAAAAAAAAAAACTGCCTGTTGGAAGTGGTTGGTGGAAGTAAAGTTTTAGGTTGATTTGAAGTGCACAAAGGGATTTGTATGCCCCAGAATTTACTGTTACTACAGGAATAGTCAGGTACATGTAGTATGTTGTAGGTACCCTCCAATAGGAAGTAGTGCCCTTCCATGCCAAAATCCTTGCTGACTGCATATCACCAGCATTAAACTGAAAGCATCCTCTAAAATCATCAACACTATTTTAATGAAATGCATATTGTATATATATACACAGTTATTTGTAATTGACTTTGTTATTTAGATTGAAAATATTTTTGAAAATGTTATTCTAAATATATGGTAGCAGTTGTAGGAACATCTTGGTATTTTTTTTTTAATTTTTAAAAATGATTTAGTTAATAACAACATACTTAGAAGAAGCATATCATTACAACACAATTGACATATTCAATAACGTTTTCCTGAGGTAGGATGCATCTCTTTCAAATTTGGCTGTAAATTTTTAGGTTTACAGTTGAATTATTACAGTTATACAATATTGTACTCAGTATAAACCCTATAAAACATAAATTAAATGATGTTTTAACCTTTAAAAAGATCTCCATTTCATTTATTAAAATACACAGGTTCATACAGAAAAATTCACTTTTTAAAAATTGTTTAATAACCACATGATTAGAAGCATTTCATTACAGCATTAACATATTCAATAACAATTTCCAGAGCAAAGATGCTTCTCTTTCAAAATTAGCTGTAAATTTTGAGGTTCACAGTTAAATTAATACAGTTATACAGTATTGAACTCAGTATAAACCCTATAAGATATATAATTGAATGAGGTTTTAATCTTTAAAAAAGATCTCCATTTCATAATAAAATATACTGTTTCATACAGAAAGACTCACTGATTTTGCTACTAACACTGAGATGTTGGCGCATGCATCTCTAATCTGATGATTACTAGTTATAATCGGTAGCACTAGGATCCTTGGTACCTGTGTATGTCTATAAAGTCATTCGGTATATTTCAGTGGTAACATTTATCACCTCTATTAATTACCATGATGTAAATTTCTATGCTTCCCCCTCAAATATAATACATTTTAAAAAAATTTCTTGACTTTTTGTGGTGCGTGCGTGCGTGTTTGTGTGTGTGTGTGTGTGTATAACACAGAACATGCCAAACAATCTTATTCAACTGTACACCCACTTCCCAGATGGCACCCTCCCATAGCCTCCCTCTCCCGACTAGAGCCCTTATACTCTGATATCCCTGCTACTGTCTGCTGTGTTGTCAGCACCCCCAGCTGTTCCCCACTACTTGTCCATTTGGTGAATCTAGTCACCTAACTAGGAGTCTTTCTTTTAGGAAGGTCAGCTGATCCTCATCCAGCAGCAATCAGTTGTTAATAGTCCTTTAGATAAGATTGGGGTCTGTTGTTCATTTTCCCAGTTCTATGCTGGGTTACTATCTGGGATTCCCTTTGGCCACCCTGGCCAACAACTCAAAAGAAGGTATCTCCTATCTGGCAATGTTGCTTGTTATGTAGTCTTTAGCTACACATATGGACTCTTAAAAAATAATATTGGCCCCTTTAATCTTTGATTATAGTTTCCTTTTGGGTGTTTAAGGCCATGGAGTTGGCCCAGATAAACCAATTTAGTTTTACTCTTAAGGTCGTTTGAGGATCTGTTCCTCAGGAGTCACATGTGCTTGGGAGGAGCCCCTGGCTCCTTTCTTTTACCAGTTCCATCTATGTGAAGATAAGTCAAAGGTCCTGCTCTA